TTTAAAAATTAACAAATAGGGTAAAAGGTAAAATAACTCATAAGGCCATTCAGTTACTAATTGGTAGAGTCAGGACCTGGATCCAAGTTTATCCAACTCCAAAGACTTCAGTCTTCAACATGACAAAAAGTTACTTTTGAAGAAGAAACAATTCTTTGATGAATGTTGAACCAAAGTTCCTGATCCTAAGACTCACCTGGAGGACCTATAAAAAATAAAGTTCCCCAGGCCCCACTCCAGCTTACTGAAAGACCCTGCGAAGAAAAGCCTCAGAAATCAGATGACTGTTATGATCAGGCAACCTTGGAAAATAGTGGCATGTGACAAAACCAAAGGTAGAAAGAGATTCTGTCTCATAAATTATTATGTCTGGGTATGAAAGTATGTGACAATATTTCATGCGAACTTTTAGATATTTATGCAATTACCCTAAGAGCAATTCAATCATAACATTCTTTTTAAAGATTTTATTTATTTACTTCAGAGAGAGAGTGAAAATGCGAGAGAGAGCATGAGAGAGAGAGCGAGCATGTGGGGGGAGGGCAAAGAGAGAGGGGCAAGCAGACTCTCCACTAAGCAGGGAGGCCGATGGGGGGTTTGATCCCAGGACCCTGGGATCATGACCTGAGCCAAAGGCAGACGCTTAACTGACTGAGTCACACAGGCGCCCCTGTCATAACATTTTTAAATGAGAGAACAAGAAGAAAACTAGATTGTCTATTTTCTTTATAGACATAATACATTTCTTTTTTTTTTTAAGATTTTATTTATTTACTTGAGAGAGAAAAAACATGAGTGGGGGGAGGAGCAGAGGGAGTGGGAGAAGTAGGCTCCCTGCTGAGCAGAGCCCTGGGATCATGCCCTGAGCCAAAGGCAGACACTTAACTCACTGAGCCACCCAGGTGCCCTGACATAATACATTCCAAAATGGAATTTCACAGATTTTTTAAGAAAAGCAATAAAAATTAAGAGAATGGATAGGGTAGCAATTGGTAGCATGGTTTTAAAGCAGTGTTTCATATTTCCAAGAATTTTAGTACAGATTCTTGATTCAGTTTACCTTGATTATTAAGAATTTTAAAATTACAAATGACAGCTCATATCCTTAGGTAAAGACACCCAGCAGTTGACCATTCACCTTGATGGAAAGTATTTAAACTGTAGTTTGGATTAATACGTTTATAGGAGCCACTATGGCTTAATAAAATTATAATGAAAGTAAACATATTAAGCAATTTGACAAATCAAAATTCATTTAACTCATATGAAAAAAAGGCCAAAAAATGAGAATACTAAACTAAAACCACAGTAGTAAAAGCAGAGGCTTTGGAACCACAAAGACCTGGATTTTAATTCTGGCTGTGTGACCATCAACAATCTGCCTTCAGATTGCTCCTCTAGAAGATAAAGATAATAATAATATATAGTTCAAAACTTCCACTTCCAGCCATGATGGAGTGACAGGGTCCAGACGTACCCTCCCATCTTAAACAACTAAAAAATTAGACAAATATATAAAACATGATATTCAATTAATGTAACATAGCAAATATCAAGAGAACAAAAAACAAAAACCACATTATTTTACAACAGATGCAGAAAAGCAATTTGACAAAATCCAACATCCCTTTGTGATAAAAACACACAACAAAATACGAATAAAAAGGAACTTCCTCAATCTGATGAAAGGCATCTATGAAAACCCATACCTAACATCATACTTTATGATGAAAGACTAAATACCTCCCCTAAAGACTGGGAACAAGACAAAGATGTCATGTCCACGTTTACCACTTCTATTCAACACTGTATTTCAGGTTCTAACTAAAGCAAAAAGCAAGAAAAACAAATCAAAGACATCCAGGTTGGAAAAGAAATAAACCTATATCTATTTGCAGATAACATGATTTGTATATAGAAAATCCTAAAGAATCCACTAACGAAGCTATTAGAACTAAAGAGCCAGTTCAAGCAAGGTTGCAAGAGACGAGATTAATATATAAAATTCAACTGTATTTCTGTGCCCTAGTAATAAACAGTCTGAAAATGAAATTAAGAAAACAATTCCAATTTACAATCATGTCTACAAGAGTACATACTTAGGAATAAATTTAAATAAGGTGACTTTCACACCGAAAACATCAAAGCACTAAATAGATATATACATCAATGGCACAGGATATCATAAGGGTAATCAAGATAAAGTGGTATTGGCATAAAAATAGGCACAGAGACAAATGAAACAGAACAGACAGTCAGAAACAGACCCATACATATATATGGCAAATAGCTTTTCAACAAGGGTACTAAGGCAATTCAATATAAAAAGGATAATCTTTTCAACAATCGGTACTTGAACACTGGATATCCCTATGAAAAAATGAACCTCAACCCTACCTCACACCATATACAAAATTTAACTCAAAAGGGAACACAGACCTCATTGTGAAATTTAAAACTCCTACAAAAAAATTAAGAGAAATCTTAGTGATCTTAAATTTAGGTAAAGATTTTTTAAATAGGAAACAAAACAAAGCACAAAACAATGAAACATGGAACACTACATCAAAAACTAATGATGTACTGTATGGTGACTAACAAAATAAAATAAAATTTAAAAAAAGAAGTAAAAAAGTTAATATATTGGACTTCAGCAATTTTTAAAACTTCAAAACACACTTTAAAGAAAAGGAAAAGGCAGGATGCCTGGGTGGTTCAGTCAGTTAAGCGTCTGCCTTCGGCTCAGGTCATGATCCTAGGGTCCTGGAATGGAGTCCTGCATCGGGCTCCTTGCTCAGTGTGCTTCTCCCCCTGCCTCTGCCTTTGCCTGTGACTCCCCTGCTCATACTCTCTCTCTCTGACAAATAAATAAATAAGTCTTAAAAAAAAAAAGAAAGAAGAAAAAGAAAAGGCAATCCAAGGACTGCAAGAAAGTATCTGCAAAACATAGATCTTAATATCTAACATACATGAAGTCCTCTAAGAAATCTTTTCATTTGTGACAAACTGTATGAAACTGGAGGGCAATATGCCAAATTAAATAAGCCAGACAAAGAAAGACAAATGCTGCATGGTATCACTTATATTTGGAATCTAAAAAAAAAAAGTTGAACTCATAAAAACAAAGAGTAGAAAAGTGGCTGTCAGGGGCTGAGGGTGGAAAAAGAAATAGGGAGAGGTTGGGAAAAGTGTATAAACTTTCAGCTGTAAGATGAATAAGTTCTGAGGATCTAATGTACAACATGGTGACTACAGTTGATAACACTGTATTGTATAGCTGAAATATGCTAAGAGAATAGAACTTAAACATTCTCTCTCTCACACTCACACACACATATGCACAGATAAATATGTGAGGTGATGGATGTGGTATTTAACTTGATGAGGGGAATCCTTTCACAATGTATATGTATATCAAATCACCATGCTGTAGACTTTATATACCTTACTATTTGTCCATTACACCTCAGTAAAGCCAAAAAAAAAAAACTTAATAATAAAACAATCTAACTTTAATGAACAAGATGTTTGAACACACATTTCACCAAAGAGATAAAGATATGAAATAAGCACGTGAAAAGATGTTCAAAAATGAAAATAACATTAAAAAAAAGAAAAGAAAATTAAAACCAAATGAGATACCGTAGACACATACTAAAATGGAGTGGCTAAAATTACAATGTGTAACCATATCTAATGTTGGTAAGAATGTGGTTAATTAGAACTCTCATCCACTGCTGGTAAGAATGTCTAATACCACAAGTACCACAAGCTTTTCGGAAGTTCTCATTATACCACTTTGTTTTTTCGAGAGACCTACATTAGTACTTGTTTTCGCTAACCAAAAGAAATCCAAAGAGGATGTCTGCTTTATGAATAAAAGCAAAAAGCAAAAATCGTGTTCAGTGTTTGTTTTATAGTGAGACATTACGGAGTCAACACACCCCAGACAGCACGTGCGGTGCTGCCCAGCTCCTTCCCCAGGAACTACACTCAGCATCTCAGGGTCAGGCCACCATAGTTTTGAACTGTGTTTGTGAACATCTATGCTTTATCTCAATTTATTTTGTGTGTCCATTAGCAAGATGTGTCCTAATGTATCAGAAAAGCCTAAAAGAGGTTATTTTGGGGGTCTGGAAATGCTCAAAAAATTTCCCATATACATTAATGGTAATTGCATCTTTATGCCATTCCAAATTACAAAAGGTTTCAGATAGTGGGGGAAACCTATATAATAACCACTTTGGAAAACTGTTTCTTTAAAAGTTAAATATGAAGCTATTATGAGGCTCTGCTATTTCATTCTTAGGTATTTACCCAAGATAATGAAAGCACACATCTGCACAAAGACTTATACATGATGGTTCATGGCAGCCAGATCTATAATAGCCAAAAAACAAGAAAGTAAACAAATACCTATCAACAAGTGACTGGATTAACAAATTATGGTATTTCTATACAATGGTATACTTCTCAGCAATGAAAAGGAACTGATATACACAACAGTATGGATGACATTCAAAATAACTATGTTGAGTGAAAGATGCCAGGGGAAAAGTATACTGTATGATTCCATTCATATAAAATTCTAGAAAATGCTAACATCCATAGTGACAAAAAGCAGATCAGCAATTGCACAGTAACTGAGTTGGAGGAAGGAATGAATACAAAGAAGCATGAGCAAACTTCTGAGGGCGATGGAACCGTTTATTATCTTCACTGTGCTGAGGTTTCAGGAATATTTACATGTCAAAACTCATCAAACTGATGCTTTACATATGTGCTATTTATTGTCTGTCAATTGCACCTCAAAAAAGCTGTAAAAAATTAATATACATCTCATAGGATTATTGTTAAGTATATGATATTGTACCTAATAAGTTTTAAGTGAGTCTGTTATTCTGGCATGAAATAATCACTTCATATATCAGCTTCTTACTTTAACAACTGAAAAAAGTACTTGGGTAACTAACTCAATGTTCAAAGCACCTAAGATATACCTTAGCTTCTTCCTCTTGTGCTTTTTTAACAATTGCTTGTAATTGCACCTCTCGTTTAAATTCAGCATGAAGTAATTTCTCTTCCATCATCCTGCGTCGTTGATCTAATAATTCTTCCTTCCACTTCCGGACATCTTTCTCCTATACAGAGTGAGATATTCACATGTAGTAATTTAACAGATACACAGGTTAGGAATTACAAAGTCTAGAACCAGAAAGACCTAAAGGAGCATGACTTATGAATACAGACTAGGAATCCAGACTGCTTGAGTTCATAATCTACCTTCTCACTTGCTAGCAAAAATCAAAAGCTGGCTCAACATGAGTGGGAAGAAAACTAACATTTCAGTTGAAGTTTAGCTACATAATTATGCATTTAACCACCTAAAAAAGTATGATGCAGACACAGCACTGGATTAGGAGCTAGAGGACAGATCTTTAAAGCCCTTTAGTCAGCCAATTATCGGTCATCTGATACTGGAAACAGTATTTCGCCTCTCCTAGATTCAGTTTTCACACCTGTAAAAAAATGGGATTCAGTATCTGTTCAACTCTGTGAGCTACAAAGAATTCTGGTGATGAGACCACATATATAAAACAGTGCTGAAACAATAACCTATTATACAAATGGAAGGTGGATTTATCATTAAAATCAATCAGAGATAGATTAATGGAAAAATTAAACTGAAGAACCACTAACATCTTGTACAATTTCAAGAATTTATTATTCTGTTTGCATGAATACTTGGAGATTATATTATATAAGAAAATAAACTATATAATTTTATTTGTCTTAAAGACACAATAAGGGGTGCCCGGGTGGCTCAGGTGGTTAAGCGTCTGCCTTTGGCTCAGGTCATGATCCCAGGGCCCTGGGATTGAGCCCCACCCCTGCTCAGTGGGGAGTCTGCTTCTCTCTCTCCTTCTGTCCCTCCCCGCCCCCATGCTCGCCCGTCCCCCCAAATAAATAAATAAAATCTTAAAAAAAAAAAAGACACAGTAAGAGGGGAAGTTGTAGTTGTGTTACAGCATTTCTCTAAAGCTGGAAATTAAATAATATATTAACTCTTACAGAACCCCACAACATGGAGTCTGTTTTTCATTTTGATTTATTCATTCCAAATGATTAAAATAAAAATAATGACAAATTCTTGAGATTCAGGTAAAGAAAAAAGTCACAGATTTCCTTCTTTTTCCAGCTTTTTCTACTGTACTAAACAGAATCTTATACTACACCTCATTTTTAAAAATATTTGGATTATTTGCTCCAATTATCTCTCCCAAATTTAAAATACACATAAGTAATGCAAATAATATTTTTTAAAAGATTTTATTTTTAAGTACTCTCTATACCCAACATGGGGCTCGAACTCACAACCCTGAGATCAAGAGTCTCTCACATGCTCCACCAACTGAGCCAGCCAGGCGCCCCAATGCAAATATTTTTCACCTCTGCATATTAGTACTCCTTTCTAGTACTAGAAGATAACAAAGGAGTTCACCTATACTCTAACAGTCACATATCTTTTGTCATGTTGTGATAAGTACTTGTAGTATGCAGACTCCAAGATGGCTCCCAGCAATCCCAGTCACTTGGTATTCAGATCCTTCTGTAATTCCTCCCCACACTGTACCAGGATTGTGACCAACAGAATACAGCAAAAGTGATGGCATATCACTTCTAAGATCAGGTTATAAAAGGCAATGCAGCTTCAGTTTTGGCAGCTTATTTATTCTTTCCTTCTCTCCATCTCCATCCCCTCCTCCTTTCCTCCCTTTCTCCTAGACTATTTTCTGTGGGGAAGCCAGTGGCCATGTTATGAGGACACTTGGGCTGTGGAAAGGTATACATGGCAAATAACTGAAGTCTATGGCCAACTGGTAAAGAGGACCTGAAGTCTGCCTACAACCACATGAGTGAGTCCAAAAGCAGATCCTACAGTTCCAAATGACTGACCCCAGCCAACAGCATGACTGCAAACTCAGACTCCAAATAAAAATCATTAGGCAAGTCACTCCCGGTTTCCTTGCCCACAGATATTGTGAGCTAATAAACATCTGTTGTTTTAAGTGGGTAAGTTTTGAGGTCATTTGTTATACAGCACACATAACTAATACAGTACTCACCTATATCTGCCATGTTGAAGTAATAATAAGAATGACCATACAATGAGCAACAGCCATCCTAACACCATGCACTGTTATACATACTGGCCACATTTAATCATTGTATCAAGTTAATAATTATAATTGTCATTTTATAAATAAAGAAACTGAAATGCAATATTGTCAAGTAACTAGCCCACGGCATATTTTATCATGTGGTAAAACCGGAATTTGACCCCTACCTGGCCATCTCCAGACCCCATGTTCTTCCCACTATATCACCCTGATCAGAAGTTACACTATTTTAAGAATCTCTTCTATAAATTCAATTAGTGCCCCACTTATTCAAACCTGATAATCTGAGGCTCAAAACTATCCTACCAATTCATCCTACTGTCCACAAGACTCCCCAAAGAAACTCCCCATGAAAATGGCAAAAGACAAAGTGCAGCTTCAATAATCCATGCCAACTCTGCAAACATCAACTTACTAGCTAATTGAGAAATGTCCATTTTTTTCTTTTTTGCAGGTAACCTTCTGTAATTGTATAGGTAGAAATGCTTTTGTTTACTAGAAAATTTAATTCTTTTTATAGTTTTGCTAGCTTCTCTTAAACCAAAAAAAGAAAAAGAAAAAACAGTCAAGTTAAAAATCAGCCCAACAATTTAAGGCTATCAGAATTTTCTATATATTAAAAACTCACCCTTTCTAATAATTTCTGAAGCTTTAATGTTTTCTCTTCACGTAACTTTTCCCTTAGCTGCTGTGCTTTCATTTGTTTTTCTTCATGTTTCTTCTTAGATTCTGCAATTGTTCTATTAACACAAACAAGTGGACAGAAGACACAAATGTTTACATGATAAAGCCAAAAATATCTTCTTTAGTCTTCAACATTCCTAAAATAAATATAAAAAGTATACAAAACTAATTCTGGCCTAACATTTCAGGAAAACATTGTCACTTTTCAATGAATCTGTAACTATCCTGAGTAATGTGCCTTAAAATGTTGTTTAGCAACTCTATTTAGTAGTCAAGAGTAGCTAGTTTCCCTCCTATGAAACATTTCACATTAATTTTCGAAGGCCAGACCTTTTACGAGACGGTGAGGAAAGTTTTTCATGCATGTGAATTCCATGGCCTGGAGGTCTAGCAGGTTCCTCCTCTACAATATCCCCCCATGATGTATTTTGGCGCCAAGTTTCACGAGCTGCCAGAAAAAAGAAAACCAATGTAACTGTTTAACCACATAGTTCTATAAAACCAACATTTGAGAACAGACTTTTAAAAGGCATCAGCATTTCCACTCGAAATTATTTATTTTATACCTAAACTCCATTTAGTAAGATAATCTACTTTAAATCCTTCTAGCTACACACACACACACACACACACACACACACACACACAATACCTTCATAATCTGCAAGGACATCATTCCAGTCCATAGACATACCACAGAAAGATACACTCCCACTGCCCATGCTGGCCTAAAATGTAATAAGGAAAAGTGAAAAACAAATATTTGAACATAGTTATAACCTTAAAAAATGAACTGCAGATGTAATATTCCTGTTACTAATACATTTAACAAACAGTTCAAAACCAGAAAAAAGCTATATACCTTTTATAGTTACAATAATCACCAAAATACTATAGTCTATACATTTTAAGAGGAAGACAACCCTACTTTTCATTAACAGCAGAGACAAATCAAGTAAATTTAAAAGAAACATATTGGCCTCATACTATTACCACATAACTCTGCTATATTCATAGTACACATGAGAAGAGCTCCAGATTATTCTCTGGGTATTAAAATTTAATAGAAAAATATTTGAAACATTTATAGTTACTTCCATTCTGTAAGAAGTCCCTCTTAGCAACATATATATCTGAGTGCTTAGTGACAGCAAGGCATGTATCATTTACTTTTTATTAGTTGAACAGAAAAAAGTAAAATACCTTAGATTCTATTTCAATCTCTGCAATTAAAATCAAGTAATGTTCTTACTTTTTTGAAGATTCAATTTATCGATTTGTAAAATGAGAACAGCAACTTTCAACTTGTCAACTAAATTATATATAAAAACACTTCGTTATGGTGAAGTGCTAAAGAAAGATTTCCTGTTGTTTTTGCATCAACTCTAAGTCCTTCTGGCCCTACGAATTTTATTTCTAAATGTAGTTTTTTGAACAATTATGTTAAAAATTCTAAAAGGTCACAGAAGAACCCAAGGTAGCGGTGAAGTAGGAGGACCGTAGGCTCATCTCGTCCCAGGAACACAACTAGATAACTATCAAATCATCCCCCAGAAATCAGCCTGTAGACTTGACAGGACAAACTCTACAACTAAAGGGAGAGAAGAGGTCACACTGAAGAAGGTGGGAAGTACAGAGACATGGTTTAGGGGAGAAATGGATCAGACTGCAGGTACTGCAGAGGGGAGGGAGCCCTGGTCACAGGGAAGGGTGAGAGAGAGCAACAAGCACACAGGGGAATGCAAAAGGAGAACGTTTTCCCAAAGCCTTTGGCTTGGAAAATAAGAGGGGCTGAATTCTGTGAGTTCTTGAAACCAGCAGGGCTTAAAGATTTGGAGTTTTAAAAGTCAGCAGCTTGGCTGGGATGGAGTCCAGACGGCACAGCCCTGCTCCTGGAGAGAAGACAGGCAAAAAACCAGGGGCAGACAGTGTGGAAATAGTGATCTGAAGAACACCTGGGGCACAGAGTAGGGAGATTATTCGCTATTCTAAGAGCATTTCCCTGAGATGCAGCACAGTGTTCACAGAGATGCCTCTCTGGGAATAAAAGAGCTAAATGGAGCCATTTCTCTTCCCCATCCCTCAGCATAAACACAGAGCCATCTAAGGGAAGCAGCTCAGCACCAACACTGGCTGCCTACTTTGCTTACACCAAGCCCCACACCCCTGCACTCTGGCAGAACGGTACTTGTCAGTCAAGCTTGCCTTAGTCCCAGCATGGTAGGCCCCTCCCCACAGAAGATCAGCATAAACCCCTGCCCATACCACATCTCCTGACCAGAGAGTTCTGCAAGGCTCAGTTCTGGTAGAGTTGGTGTCAGGTATCAATTCACAAGCACACCAGAGCACATCTGGTTAAAACTCAACACATTCAGGCCAGGGATCAAACACTGTCCCCAGCAGGCAAGGAGAGCCTCTGCAGACAACTGGCCTGAAGGATAGAGCAGCCAAAACACAAAAGCACAGCACACACAGCACATACCAGAGACACTCCATGAAGTTCCAGACCCAACGCACTACATGACCTCTTCTTCCGAAGGCCATTACTTTCAGGAGAAGAAGACAACTGGCTTTTTTTAACATAGGAAAGAGGGCAGAGACTTAGACAAATTGCCAAGATGGAGAAATTTATCCCAAATGAAAGAACAAGATAAGGCCATGGCCAGAGATCTAAGCAAAACAGATATAAATAACATGCCTGATGGAGAATTTAAAGCAAAAATCATAAGGATACTCACTGGGCTTAAGAAAAGAATAGAAGACATCAGTGAGACCCTTACAACAGAGATAAAAAAGTTTAAAAAAAGAATCAATCAGAGATGAAGAATGAAATAAATGATATGGGAAACAGACTTGATGCAATGAACAGCAGGCTGGAAGAAGCAGAGGAATGAATTAGTGACCTCAAAGATAAAATAATGGACAATAATGAAGCCAAACAAAAGAGAAAGAAGAATTATGCAACACAAGAATAGATTTAGGAACTCAGTGACTCCATCAAATGGAAAAACATCTGTTATTATAGGAGTCCCAGAAGAAGAAGAGAGGGAAAAAGGGGCAGAAAATTTATTTAAAGAAATAATAGCAGAAAACTTCCCTAATCTGGGGAAGGAAACAGACATCCAAATCCAGGAGGCACAGAGAACTCCAATCAAAATCAACAAAAGCAGGCCTACACCAAGACATACTGTAATTAAATTTGCAAAATATAGTGATAAAGCAAAGAATCTCAAAAGCAGCGAGACAAAAGAAGTCTTTAACTTACAAGGGAAAACCATAAGGCTAGCTAGAGATTTCTCAACAGAAACCTAGCAAGCCAGAAGGCAGTGGCATGCTATAGCCAACGCGCTAAATGGAAAAAACCTGCAGCCAAGAATACTCTATCCAACAAGGCTATAATTTAGAAGAAGAGATAAAGAGTTTCTCAAACAAATGAAAACTAAATGAGTTCATGACCTCTAAACTAGCCCTGCAAGAATTATTAAAGGGGACTCTTCCAGTGTAAAGGAGAGATCAAAAGTGACAAAGACAAGAAAGGATCAGAGAAAATCTCCAGAAACAACAAAACAAGTAATAAAATGGCAATAAATATATATCTATCAATAATTACTTTGAATGTAAATGGACCAAACACTCCAATCAAAAGAAATAGGGTGTCAGAATGGATTAAAAAAAAACAAGAGCCATCTATATGCTGCCTATAAGAGACTCATTTTAGACCTAAAGACACTTGCAGATTCAAAGTGAGGTGGTGGAAAAACATTATCATACAATACTTATATAAGACAAACTAGACATTTTTTCTTGTATTATTTTTATCCTTTTTTGGTATCAGGGTAGTACCGGCCTCGTGGAATGATTCCAAATGTGTTCCCTCTATTCCATTATTTGTATGATTTGACAAAGATTGTCATTAATTTTTTTTTCATGTTTGGTAGAATTCACCAATGAAACCATGTGGTCTTGGGCTTTTCTCTGCTCAGGGATTTCGGATTCCCAATTCAACTTTCATTCTTGTCATTGGTCTAAGAAGATTTCTTACTTTCTGGATTCAAGATTCATGATTCAATCTTGGTAACCTGTGGGTTTTAGGAATTGCCTTTTTTTTTCTAAGTTATCTGATTTGTTAGTATATAATTTTTTATAGTAATCTATTATCATCTGTTGTATTGTTTTCTCTTCCATTTCTCATTTTGGTTTTTGAGTCTTCATTTTTTTTCTTTGTTAATATAGTTAAAGCATTGCCAATTTTGTTTCTTTTGGTGGGGGGAACTGCTCATGACTTTCAATGTTATGTGACTGTTTATTCTGGTCTCTATTTTATTTATTTCTGATTTTCTTTGTTATTTCCCTCCTCTACTAAATCTCAGCTAAGTTTCTTCTTTTTCTACTTCCTTGTCGTGTAATGTTAAGTTGTTTACTTCAACTATTTTTCTTAATGCAAGTGTTTATAGCATAAATTTCACTCTAACATCTGCTTTTACTGCATCCCATAGGTTTTGGAACATAGTGTTTTCTTTTTCTTTTGTTTTGAGACATATTTTGATTTGCCATTTGATTTTATTTGGCCCATTGCTTGTGCAGTAGTGTGTTAATATATACATGATAGATTTTCCAACTTTGTTTTATTGTTGATCTTTAGTTTTGTACCACTGTGGATAGAAAATATACTTGGTATGATCCCAGTCTTCTTAAATTTCTAATATTTGTTATGTCTCTTTTTATGTGAGTTAGCCAGGGGATTCTTCTGTGTGTACTTAAAGAAAATGTGTATTCTATTTTTCTTGGATGGAATATTTTATATATATCTTTTAGAACATGTGTTCTGCAGTATGCTTCAAGTAAAAAATGTTCTTGTTGAAAAAAAAAATACCTTAAACTGAGGGTACTCATTTAGGCAGGGGGGATGAAATAGATGATGGGGATTAAGAGTATACTTACCATGATGAACAATAAATAATGTAAAGAATTACTGAATCACTATATTGTACACCTGACACTAATATAATACTGTATGTTAACTACAGTGGAATTAAAAATAACTTAACAAAAAATAAAAAAAAATAAAAGCTCACAGAAAAATCACTGTCGTTGTCGGTTTCAATATTAATATCATTGTTTTCTTCTGCTTCAATTTCTCTGGTTAACTGCTCCTCTTCAGCAATAGCACTAGCAATGGCTTCTTCATTGGCCTTTTCTAGACGATCTGCCAGCTCCTCTTTTTTAGCAAGAACTTCTGCCATGGACTATAAAATTAAAAATAAACAAAAGAATGATCAGTTGAGTGGAAAGTTAAGTAATCACTTCTTTATGTTCTAATGACACACTCAACAGTATACAAAAAGCCTGATCTGGAATTATAAAAAGTGGGGTTCAGTATAGGTTCAACCACATGCTACCCGTGTGACTTGGATACTTCTTAAAACCAAGAGCATATATTGTATTCCACAAAATGGTACAATAATCCATGACTTACCTTCTTTATCAGACTGCTCTGTATGAGAAACTGTGAAGTTATACAAATAACAGGTATTATGAATGTCAAAGTATGAATTTAGTTTGAGTGCCAAAATTCAAAACAGTTGTAGATCAAATATCTTTAAAACAAAAGAAAAAAATATATATATAAAAGGAACACAGAAAGATTTTATTCTCTAATGGTGATATTACTTTACGAACATAGAGATCTAAATTAAAAATATGCATTAGAAAAAAATACAAATAATATGCATCCAAATCATTAACTAATAAATCCATATGATAAGCTAAAAATGTATACTAGAAACTCTACAGTAAACACTGAAATAACAAAGAGTTATGACTAATAAGCCAACAAAGCAGATAAAATGGAATTATTAAACATAATTAATCCAAAAGAAGGGAGAAAGAGAAGAAAAAGGGGGTGAAGAACAGATGAGTCAGAGAGAAAACAAATCATAAGATGGTATACTTAAAGGAACCATATCAATAATCAATAGTTTGGACTGGAATAGTCTAAATGCCTCAATTAATAGAGATTGTCAAATGGGATAAAAAGCAAGATCCAAACATATGCTGCCCAAAAGAAACTCAATTGAAATATCAGAATATAAACAGATTACAAGTGAAAGTGCTACAATGCTAACACTAATCAAAAGAAAACTGAAGTATTAATATCAGACACAGATTTCACAGCAAAAATATCAGGAGGGATAAGAAAGGTCATTTCATAATGATAAAAGGGTTAATTCATCAAAAAGACAAAACACACCTAAATATTTATGGACTTAATAACAGAGATTCAAAATACATGAAGCAGAAATGGATCGAAATGCAAAAGTAAATAAACTTAAGGGGGATGTGAAAAGGTGCTGCCAGTTTGGAAAACAGTCTGATAATTCCTCAAAAAGGTGAAATGTAAAGTTACCACATGACCCAACAATTCCACTCCTAGGTATTTACCCCGAAGAAATGAAACCATATATCCACCAAAAACATATATACAAACATTTAAAGCAGCATAATTTATAACAGCCAAAAAAAGGAGACAGTCCAAATGTCCTTCAACTGATAAATGGATAACATGTGGCATATCCATATAATGGAGTATTATTTGGCCACAAAAAGGAATGAAGGCTAAAACATCAATGAACCTTGAAAACACCATGCCCAGTGAAGGGCCAGTCACAGAAGACCACATATTATATTCCATTTCAATGAAATGTTCAGAACAGACAAATATACAGAGACAGAAAGCAGATCTGTGGTTATCTAGGGTTGAAAGGGAGTGACTGCTAATGGGTACTGGGTTTCTTTTTGTAGTGATGAAAGTGTCCTAAAACTGATCATGGTGATTGTTGCACAACTCTGTGAACATACTGAAAAATATCAAATTGTAAAATTTAAATGGGTAAATTGTATGTTATGTACATTTTATCTCAATAAAGTTGTATTAAAAAAAAGAAACAGTTTCACAGTTATATTCAGAGATTTCAATACCCGTTTCTCAACTGATAGAACATGTATTGAAAAAGCATGGATCTAAGAGACCTGAACAACACTCTCAACAAAACTGACCTCTAGGTATCTTTGTAGAAGAAATGAAAACATATGTTCAAAACAAAGACAAACATTCATGGTGCCATTATTCATAATAGAGAAACTGGAAATGACTCAAACATCTGTCCACAACTGAATGCATGAACATTCTGTGTGGATGAATGTACTGTGTTACATGCCTACAGCAGAATACTCCTAAAGACAGTAAAAGAATGAACTATTAGTACACGCAACTACATGGATAAACCTCAAAATAATTACGCTGAGTAAAAGAAGCCAAACAAAAGATTATACTACTCCATTTACATAAAGTTCTGAAAATGCCAATCAATATATAATGAGAACAGAACAGTGATGACCTGGGAAGGAAATACCAGGAAGGAGAGAAAGGAGGGATTACTAAGGGAAATCTGAAAACTTTTGGAGGAAATCATTATGTTCATTTTCTTGATTGTAGTGATGTTTTTATAGGTATAAACACATCAAAATTTTAACAATTTATATATTTTAGATACCTGAAGTTTACTGAAAATCAATTATATCTCTATAGAGGTATCAAAATATGCAAATGCTTGAGCCCCAACTTATAACTGAATTGGTCTGGAGTGGAGCTGGGTACCGGTATCTTTATTAATGCTTTCCCTTTCCTCCCCCCCTTCCACCTCCCCTCTTGATAATCTGCCCCACCAAAACCCAAAAGATTGCCCCTGGGGAATAGAACAGGGGGAGGGAGTTTAGATGAGAGACTAATTCTTTGCATTATAAGCTTTTTCTCTATAAACCCTAGAATATTAACAAACTGACTGCTGTTAATGTGCAATAAAGACCTTACAACTTAAGAACAATTTAAAAATCTAAATATTAAAGTTGAATATATATAACTTTGCAGAAAGTAAGTTCTCACGTGAGCCTATTTGCTCTCCCAATTTTATCTTCCCCAGAGTACATTTCTATTTAGTCTCTGAAGACCTGAAAAGATTTTAATGTAGTAGTAGAGCTTATGGATGAAATAATGATTCAATAACCCATATACAACTTTTAGTATTTTCACACTGTGAAATTCAAATAAATATCTACATATATAATTTTTTTTAATTTCCAAATTTTCATTAAAATTTGAAATTTTAGTAAATCTAAAAACATAGATCCACTGTATCTAGGTTTTATATTAGCACATTTTTACAATAGTGGCAAAACTTGACCTTAAATAGAAAGGTTTTAACAGTCATTTTTTTACCAAAATTTCTGTTAAATAAGAGAACTGCAGAATTTTTACCTTTAACCAGCTACATGATGATACTGTATTAAGAAAGAAAAGAAAACCGTTCTCTCATCACTGCAGCAATTCTCTATAATCCCCCACTGAGAACCTAAACAAAGAGGTACATATCTAGAGCAAGCCAAGGACTTATCTCTGCCAAGGCAAATCCAAAAACAAAATTTTTTAAAATCTTAGTTTAGTTAAAATTCCTCTAACAACTCTAAGAATATATTAACATTCATATTTAAAGCAGAGTATGTAAAGTATGTAAATCTGATCCTTAAAATAACCAAGAGTTTTTAATATTCTACCACAAGATTTATTTACATATGTGATCAAAATAAAATGGATGAAAGAAGAATTTTTAAATACTTATTTAATGCTTATTTAAGTATAGGATCTTTTTCCTCTTTTGAAATTTGATTCTCACAGAATCAATTCACAAAATAATTTTTTTTTTAAAGATTTTATTTATTTGAGAGAGAGAATGAGATAGAGAGAGAGCATGAGAGGGGGAGGGTCAGAGGGAGAAGCAGACTCCCTGCTGAGCAGGGAGCCCGATGCGGGGACTCGATCCTGGGACTCCAGGATCATGACCTGAGCCAGAGGCAGTCGCTTAACCAACTGAGCCACCCAGGCGCCCCCACAAAATAAATAATTTAATATGATATCTAGCTATGAAAATAAAAAATATAAAAATGATCAATTCTATCCCATACCTTAAGTTTAGTATTTATATGACCATAATTATATTCAAACTTTTAAAAACAGTCACACTAAAAGAGCCAAGTTAAAATACAATTTGCTCTTTATTCCTTATTTTAAAAATTTAAATGTTTTTCTTATTACTATAACCTTTATTTTTCCCTTAACCCTTATCAAGTTTCATCTGTATCTAATGTTATTATGTTTATGAAATGTAAAATTTGGTCTAATACCATCTGTTGATAGCATCTTTCAGCATGATGAGGCATTAAGTTTTGAAGAAAACTATAGTATACAGTAGCCATTTAAAAAATAAAATTTGAGTAATTTTTCTCAACAAATGTTTATATGTGCCTACTTCTTTTGAAAGTTACTTTTAAATTAGAATGACCCATTCTGGATTATCCTCAGGTCAAGTATCTTAATACTAAAGTGAGAAACAAAAAGACATGAGGACAAATAAGCAGTCATCCAAAAACATAAACCTATAATTCCAAATCAATGCATTTTTAAAGGTTCTGCAACGGGAATGGTGAATAAATTTCATCTTAAAGACCAACGCCAAGCAAATGATAGAGGCTATTTAAAGAACTAACAAGAGAATTTTTAAAAGTCCAGTAGGCAGCATTTCCCATCCATCAGAGTGCTAGATGCTGCATGGAAGACTTTATTATTACTGGTTTAGTTTCTTAATGCCAGACTAAAGAACATTTGATCAAATCACAAAATGAATGATTTTAGCAATAGTTATTTAACTTGGACAGTCTCATTTTCTTCCTCTACAAAACAAACAGAATCTTAACTATATCAAAAGCTTGCTATAAGAATAAAAAGTTAAAATGAAATAACACATATAAAATGCTTTATAAAGTATTAAAATAATACACAACACAATTTATTTTTATTGTTAGGGTTTATGCCCTTTTAATGTATTTACTCAGAATTCTGATAAGTTGTTCTTACCAAGTTAGCAGCACTCACATTTGAAATATCTGAAGGGTCCATTTCACTTTCTATCCCTGCTTTCTCTGTTGAAAACATGTCATTTGCTTGCAAAGGAGGTGTGTCAGCTTGCTGAGTAATTGAAACACACTCTGTATCAATGTGAACAGCAGGTATTTCAGAAGTTCGCACAGAACTGTCTTGTAAAGTACTACTGCCAGAGTTCTTGACATCATCCAATGTACTCACTGTGAACTAACAAAACACATTTACAGAATGAATCAGAGATAATAAAAAATACTCACAAACTACTCCATTCTAGAAAAACTGATTATACTAAATCTATCAACTAAAACAGTAGTTTACTGGCTGACAGACAACTCATTCGTCCTTTTTTATGTTTCAAGTTTAAAAAAAGAAAAAGAAACATTAGGCAGCAACAAATTTTATTTGCACACCTACTATGCATAGGGCACTGTCTGAAATGCTTTATGAAATAAAGCTATATTATAATTACATTTTATTTTAGTAGGCTGATTCTTTATTTCACATAGCTCACAAAAGAAATTCTAGTCACAAGTATAATACTTTGTCTTATATTCAAATAACTAAAGGTATTTACATGGTTTTTCCAAAAGTTGTCTGTCTATTATCAAATGAAGGCACTTTTCACCAAAATATACACTTTGAGGGCATTTTACGCAAAACATGACATTTGCTCTCTTTAAATAACATTAACAAACCTTAAAGTATCTTTCATGTAAAACCACAGGGTACACAATACCAATTCTCAGATCTAAAAGAGAAATATACCATAAAAAGTATAGTATACCTGAGCATGAAGTCTCATCCATTATGTAATTCCTATCTAGATTTCCATATCCTCCCCATTACCCTTTAGGAATATTTAACACATAACTAACAGAGATAGGAAAACTAAGTCAAACAACATATTGTCTTAGGCCAAATACATATCCATTTTTTTTAACTTTCCAATTTAGTAAATAGAAACAAGTTTTTATTTTCACATAACAGAGTACAGAAAGAACACTGCTGTGTTTTCCAATTATATTCAGAGTAATGAGCTCCAAGTAGAACTAAAATCTAAAATTGTGAATTTAAAATCCACTCACACTATTTAAATCACATTAGATAAACATTGCAGTGGCTATAAAACTCCCATTTTGATTGATTATTTATATAAATATTAAACTTTGTCAAGTCTTATAAACTACTTTAAAAATCCTACTATTGGTCAAAACTTAAAAGTGTCTCAAAGTGTTGATTTTAGTGTAAGTATTATTTAAGTTGTATCACATTGTTTATATTACTATCAACATTATCTATACATTAGTCACCACAGTTTATAATCTTCTTGGCAATATTTATATTAACATTACTGATGTTTACAATATAGTCAACCCTGTTTGTTAAAAAATCAATATCATTTATACAACAAAACCAAAGCTAAACTATAAAGTAATGTTGAAAAAATATATAAATATGCTAATTCCATTTTTAGAATGAAGTGGAAAAAACAAATGTTATCAATTAGCTTAGACACCAATAGCAATGAACTTTTTATATTGAAATATTTTAGCAATACTTTAATTACTCAAAAGCTGTATGTATGGGTTATCCCTAAAATCCCAAATCATGTAAATTTATTCATTACACAAAACCAGTATAATTATTATATTGTTAAATTTTATAGCTAAAATATACGTTAGCAAAAAGTGATTTTTTTTCTGTTGTCTTTGTTGTTATTACTGGTTTTCCTCTTTCTTTCTTTTCTTTACTGGACAAAATGACAAGATGGAAAAATTCACACAAAAAGAAAGAACAGGAGGTAGTACTCATTGCCAGAGATTTAATCGATAAAGACATAAGTAAGATGTCTGAAGTAGAATTTAAAACAACGATTATAAAGATACTGGCTGGGCTTGAAAAAAGCATAGAATACACTAGAGAATCCCTTACCATAGAGATAAAAGAACTAAAATCTAGTCAGGCCAAAATTAAAAATGCTATTACCAAGATGCAGTCCCAAGTAGAGGCCATAAAAATGAGGATGAACGAAGCTGAACTATATGCTAAGTGATATAAAAAGATTTCTTGGGGCACCTGGGTGGTCCAGAGGGTTAAGTGTCTGACTCTTGATCTCGGTTCAGGTCATGATCTCAGTTCAGGTCATGATCTCAGGATCATGAGATCAAGCCCTCTGTGCTCAGCGGGGAGTCTGCCTGAGAGTCCCTCCTTCTCCCTGTGTCCCTCCCCCCATGTGCACAGGCTCACTCTAATAAATAAAATAAACTAAAAAAAAAAAAAAAAGAAAACCAATTTTAAAAAAGAGAGAGAGATTTCTTCATCAAGTTTAACATTAAAAGGTTTCTTAAAGGTATATCCAACAAAAGTACTGATTATTTCCTATGTGTTTAGGACTTGCTCCATAATGTGGGAAATTATTTTTTTTAAGATTTTATTTATTTTACTTGACAGAGAGAGAGAGACAGCAAGAGAGAGAACACAAGCAGGGGGAGTGGGAGAGGGAGAAGCAGGCTTCCTGCTTAGCAGGGAGCCCGATGCGGGGCTCCATCCCAGGACCCTGGGATCATGACCTGAGCTGAAGGCAGACGTTTAATGAATGAGCTACCCGGGTGCCCCATAATGTGGGAAATTAAAAGGCAACATAAGACACTGCTCACAAGGAACTTCCAATCTCACATAGGCATATATACATTAAAGAGTTACAGAACATCAGGAACAATGTACAGTTAAGAGCCATTATCATTATTAACAAGAAAAACATGGAAGTTGAGTACAGTTTCCAATAAAAATAAATATCCTAGAGGTAAAGAGAGAACACTTTAAAAAGCAGATACTATTCCAAATCGAAAAATATAACTATTTTTCAACTTTTATACTTGTCATATCAAAGAATATCTCTTATATTTCATTTTACATAAAATTATACTAGTTGAACATGAATCTTTATGTAAACAAATACCTGAAAAATTCATTCATCAAGGAAGTAAAAAAAATTTCAAATGGACTAATAGAAATACCTAGAATATCAGCTTTAAAGAACTGTATTAAATATTAGGAAATTACTCTACACTTGGATTGCAGGACATAAAAGGAGAGCAAGTCCAAAAGATCCTTTCTTTCATCATCATTTTTAATAACACTCCAAATGAAGCAGTAGGATACCACTTAAAACAAGTAATCAACAAACTTGGGCAAACTAATATCCTATGCCTCTAAATGCCCTCTAACGGCGATCACTTTATTTCTATCAAAAATACATAAGCTAGTGGTTTTAAGTATGTATGGAATGTTATGATAGGACATAGTAGTAGTGGTGGTCAGACAAATGGAAACGGTGGGGAGACAAAAATATACATGTGAAATAAACTCAGTATTTTAATAAAGTATAAAAAAAAAAAAATACATAAGCTAGGGTGCCTGGATGGCTCAGTTGGTTAAGTGACTGCCTTCGGCTCAGGTCATGATCCTGGAGTCCCAGGATCGAGTCCCGCATCAGGCTCCCTGCTCAGCAGGGAGTTTGCTTCTCCCTCTGACCCTCCCCCCTCTCATGTGCTCTCTCTCTCTCATTCTCTCTCTCAAATAAAATCTTTAAAAAAAAAATACATAAGCTAACTTGGATAATGAACTGAAAAACATTCTACAAAATAAGAAATGCAAAGTATTCTTCAAAAACATTAACAGTGAAAGACAAAAATAAACTGAAAAACTGTCCCAGGTGAAAGATGTTTAAAAAAAAAAAGCTAAATACAATGTGTGATTCTAGATTGGATCCTGGCTCAGGAAAAAAATTCTATAAGGAAATTACTGGGACATGAATATGAATTATAAATTAAGTGAAAACACTACATAGATGCTAAATTCCCTGAATTTTACAATTAAAATGGTTAAGTAAGAGTTTCTTTATTCCTTGGAGATTATTTAAGTGAATGGTTATGATGTTTGCATATTACTCTCAAATGTTTAGCATACAATATGTGTTTTTGATATATCGATATAGAGAGAAAAGAAAAAAATGAGGCAAATGTTAATCTGTGAATCTAGGTAAAAGGTATAGGAGGGTTCATTGTTCATTCATGTAACTTTTCTTGAGATCTGAAATATTTCACAATAAAAAGTTAAGTAGGAAAATAAGACATTCCAGCATAGACATATCTTTTATAAAAAGGCAATAAAAGGATTTTCAGAATGTACTACCTGGGTTCTTTCAGCAAGAGGATGGTCACAAGAGTGTAAGGAGTCCTTGGACCAAGATTCTATAGTATTAGAAGGTCCATCTCCAGGAAATTCACCTTTCCGTATGCTTTCATCAGGTAAAAGATGTATATTTTCTTTATCACTGTCATCCTTTGACCTTAATGTTTCTGTTGCTACTGAAACTTTTGTCATCACTGCTGTTGATCGTGAACGAACAGGCCTTCCTCTTTGAACAGTCTCCCATCCTTCAGCATCTTTCCGTTCTATGCAGTTGAGGGAAGGAAATAAATCAAGATTTCCTTAGATGATATTTTCAAAAATCTATAAAATAAAAACATTTTCCAATCTAATTCCCATTAAATGTAACTAATATACAAACATGACACTAATTATTGTGCAAAGCATAATGTGTGTATGTGCATGTGTATTATCTAATACAACTACACAAATATTTCCCTATTTTACAAAAGACAAAACTGAGATTCAGATTAAGACTGATATAAGGCCACAGAGTCAGAAAGTAATAATAAACATTTATACAGTGTATACTATACGCTAACACTGTTCCAAGTGTTTTACACAGAATAACTCCTAATCTTCACAACAACCCTGTAATACAGAACTATCATCCCAAATTTATCATTGATAAAATCTATCATTTGTCATTTCATTTACTCCATTTGTCATTCAGAAAAATGAGGCAGAGAGATTAAGTAATTTCCCAAGGTTGCACACCCAGAAAAGGTAAAGCCAAGATGCAAGTCCAGACAAATCGGTTCTGGTGTCCATGTCCCATTGGTTACATAAAAACTGCCTCTCTATCTTTCAAAATCCAAACATAGGCCTACCTCCAAAGTCCAAGATTTTTTCCTCTATCCTAATGTACTAATGACATACATTTGGCTTAAAAAAACTATTAAGACTACAGACTATTAATTGAAGGAACTGAAGGAATCCTAGAGGATCTAATCCAATATTTCACCACATATACAAGGAAATTGAGGACCTGCGTCCAAAGTTCACACAGCAAAATAGCCTAAAATAAATAAGACTCTTCCACTGAAGTGTTTCAAAATGTCACAGCCTGAGGTATATATGTTTATAGTGATGTATATAGCTACAATTTTTAAATTTTATAGGCTAATTGTACTCTTTCAAAATTAATACGAAGACTTCCAGTTCTGGCCAAGATGGAATAGCCCACCTTCATCTCCAGGTCCTCCTCCTTACGAGAGAAAGCCTTGGACAAAACATGTAAAATAAACTTAGGAAGATTTTAAGAGACAGAAAGAAGTACGAGGACTGCCAAGAGACCCTGAGACTTAAAAAGCAGCACAGCAGTGAGTTCTCTAGGTTTCCTTATTATACTCCAGACAGGATGCCATACAAGCCTCCAACCCTGAAGGACCAACAGGCATAAACAAACTAAGCATGAGCAAAACCTGTTTTGCCAAGCCAAAGGATAGGGAAAAGAAGAGCCTAACAAAACAGAAAATCTTTTTGAAGATATTCACTCTATTCCAGCTGAAGATCCATGGAAATCCTGTGCCTATGGTCTCAATAGGGTAAGCGGGGACCTGAAGTTCCATTGCCAACTAGCAGAAGCAGATAGTGGTCCAATTCCCCCACCAAAGTAGTGTCAGCAAAGTTGAATGGTGAGCTGAACTTCCACCTCCAACTGGCATTGACAGAACTAAATAAGACAGCAGGAACTGGAGTTGTTCATCACTCCACTTTCGCACACCCTTACTGTCAGTGTGGCCCAGTGGGAAGATGAACCTCCATAACCCACTGAGCAGAAATGAGACTGAATGACGCAGTAGAAGTCAGAACTGGTAGAAAGTGGTCCTCCCTACCCAAGGGTCAACAGGGCCCAATGGTGAGCACAGCCTCCACTTCCATTCAGCATCAAAGGCAGAGTGTGAAATAGGGACTAGTCAATATTCTGTTCTCCCCCTCCACCAGTATCAGCAGATCTCTGTAGAAAGCTGAGTTTCCACCCGACCAACATTAATACAACAAAATGAAGTGGTGGAGGGCAGATTTACTTGGCACTTGGATCTCCCTGCCCCTTGCCATGGTATCAACAGGGCCAAGCAGGGAGCTAAGATTCCACCTCACTCTACAGCAACAAGATGGCGTGAGTTGTCCTCCTTTCACTTTGCCCCTCCCTAGCTCTGGGGGACCCAAAGAAGAGATGAGTATATACCACCAGGGAGAGCCAAGGAGATGGTAAAAGGTGGTGCCCCAATTTGCTGGGAAAGTGTCACTGGGAACAAGAACAGAGTTTCAGGGACATGTGGGCCAACAATAAAAGAGGTAACGTGTGTCATCAGAGTCCCAGAAGGAGAGGAGAGAGAGTGTAGAACTAAAGAAGTATGTGAAGAAAGAATGGCTGAAAATGAGCCAAACTTAATGAAAGACATAAAACTACAGATTCAAGAAATTAGGAAATATGTCCCCCCAAACCCAGGCTAAGACACATCATAATTAAACCATTGAAAAAAAAAATTATTGAAAGCAGCCACAGGGAAAAATATCCATAGAACAACATAAATTCTAATGACAGCAAATTTCTCGTATGAAATATTGCTGGCTAGGAGGAAGTGACACATTTTTCAGGGACTGAAAGAATGTCAATTGCAAATTCTATATCCAGTGAAAATATCCCTCAGGAATGAAGAGTAAATAAAGGCATTCTCAGATGAAGGAAAAACTGAAAGAACATATCAATGGTAAACCTGCCATTGAAGAATGGCTAAAGGAAGCTCCCTAAAGAAAAATGAATAAGAGAAGATGGTTTAAAACAAATCAAACAGGGAATACTGAAATGAGTAAAAATGGAGATAAACAGAATAAACTATTCTCATTTTCTTGAATCATGTTTGAAAGTAAAACAAAAAATTAAAACACCATTTGATGTAGGAAACAATATAATTAAGACAGTTACATATAGAAGTAGCGAGAATAAAAGGAAACAATTAGAAGGTTTCTACATTTCACTCATGGTGGTAAACATCAAAGCCAGTAGAGTATGATAACTTAACATATGTACAATGTAATACCTAAGGCAACAACTATAAAAAAAACTGTACAATAAAATATACTCCAAAACACTATAAATATGTCAACATGGAATCATAAAAAAATGGCCAAGTTACCCATAAGAAAGCAAAAAAAGGGAAACAGTAGAAAAAGAAACAAAGAAAACAGAAAAATAATAAAATGACATGCCTATATCCTACCCTAACATACCAATAATTACCCTTAATTATAAAAGGTCTAAATATACCAAATGATAAAGACTAGCACAGTATATTTAAAAATACAATTGAGTTATATGTTATCTACAAGAAATTCACTTAAATACAAGGTCATAGGTAAATTCAAAGTGAAAGTATAGAAAAAGATGCACCATGCAAACATTAATAAGGAAAGGAGTAGTTATATTAATATCAGATATAGTAGACTTCAGAGCAAAGAAAACCACTAAAGAAATAAAGATACAGTATATAATGTATAATATATATATACATTCCACAATGAAGATACACATCCCTAAATTCGTATATACCAAACAGAAACTCAAGATACACAGAGAAAAAGTTGATAAGGCTGAAAGGAAAAAGAGAAGAATACAGTTATATCTGGGGATTTCTAATTCACTCCCAGGAATTGACAGAACTAGATATAAAATCAGCAAGTATATAGAATTGAACATACAATCAACCAACTTGAAAAAACAGCATATACAGAACAGTCTATTCAACAACAGTAAAAAAAAAATTTTTCAAATATATACAAAACATTCAGTATGATAGACCATATTCATTCTATAAAATAAACTTCTATGGACCAATTCTGCAGTAAATACAAACTACCAAAACTCAACCAAGATGAAACAGACTATCTGAATAGTCTCATAATTATTATAGACACTGAATTTGTACTTTAAAAGCTCCCCCCAAAAAATCTCCAGCCCCAGACAGTTTCTCTGGCAATTTCTACAAAACACTTTTAAAAGGATTAACACTAATTTTACACAAACTATTCCAGAAAATTGAAGAGGAGAGAATACTCCCCAAGTTATAAGCCTAGTTTTACCTTGATACAAAAACACATAAAGACAGTACATAAAAATAAAACTAAATAACAATATTTCTCACGAGCTTAAATGTAAAAATCATCAACAAAATACCAGCATATCAAATCTAGCAATGTATAAAAAGAATTACAAACCATGACCAAGTGGAATTAATTTCAGGTATGCAAACCTGGTTCAACATTCAAAAAATTCAATGCAATCCACGACTGTCAACAGACTAAACAAGGAAAATCATACGATCTTATTAACTGATAGAGAAAAAGTATTTCACAAACTCTAATACCCATTCAAGAGAAAAACTCATTAAACTATAATACAGGGGAACTTACTCAACTTGATAAAAAGTATCTACAAAAAGCCTACAGCTAGGAGCACCTGGGTGGCTCAGTCCTAATGTATCTGCCTTGTCTCAGGTCATGATCTCAGGGTACTGGTGTTGAGCCCGGACTCAGGCTCCCTACTCAGCGGAAGTCTGCTTCTCCTCCCTCTCCCTCTGCCCCTAGCCCCGCTCATGCTCTCTCTCTCTCAAATGAATAAATAAGATCTTAAAGAACAAAAAATAAAGCAAAGGAGGAAATAAAACTGTCCCTAATTTCAGATAATATGATTGTCTACACAGAAAACCCCAGGGAATACACATAAAATATCCAGAATTATTCATAAATTCAGTAAAGTTGTAGGATATAGATCCATGCACAAATCCATTGCATTTGTATATACTAACAGTGAACATGTGGAAACTGAAATTAAAAACAATTTACAATTACACTGGGGTGCCTAGGTGGCTCACTCAGTTAAGCATCTCCTTTGGCTCAGGTCATGATCCCAGGGTCCTGGGATCCAGCCCTGCATCTGGCTCCCTGCTCATTGGGCAGTCCCCTTTTCCCTCTCCCTCTACCCCTTCCCTCCACTTTTGCTCTCTCTCTCTCAAATAAATAAATAAAATCTTTTTTAAAAATTTACAATTACACTGAAGAAAATGAAATATTTAGTAATAAATCTAACAAAAAAGGTACAGTATGTGTATCCTAAAAATTACAAAAGACTGATAAAAAAAAGAACTAATAAATGGAAATACATACCATGTTCATTAGAAAATAAATGTTGATTAGAAAATTCAGCACAGTAAAAATGTTGGTTCTCTCTAAAATGATCAAT